AGCTCTCCTGGTGTCTTACCTGAAAGAGCTCTGTTTGGAAATAGGATCTCCAGTCTAATGGTGTACTTCTAGGGAAAAAAAAAAAAAGAACCCACAGACCCTGCCCTCTTGGACTGCAGGAGTCACCCACGAGGCCGGGGAGGGCGGACTCCCTGGTTTACTGCCTGGGCATCAGGTGATGGCCCTGCTTCATGAAGCAGCCTTCATGGACCCAGCCCTGAGCCTCTGCCTGGTTCTGGGTGCAGCCTGCAGGCTGAGAGAGGTTTTACATTTTTTAACAGTTGAGAAAAATCCAAAGAAGAATAAAGCTGCCTGACACCTGAAAGTTATATGAAATTCAGGTTTCGGCGTCTCTATGTGAAGTTTGAGCAGAACACAGCCACATCCACTAGTTCACATACAGCCCTGGCTGTCTCTGTGCCGTGGCCAGAGTCGAGTAGTTGACAGAGACCACACACCTGCGCCGTTTACCCCCCGTGGCTCACCTTCACTGCCTCTGCCGCACAGACTGGAGGGGTGACGTCCACACCATCGGGGAGGTTCAGGCTGTCGGGGTCCAGATGCATTACATCTGATGGAACGCAGGGACCTAGCCCATGGCCTGTAACCTGAACTCTTGCATTCTTATGCTTTTGGGAGTGTGTTTGGTTGAGTTTTTCTCTCACTTATGGTAATAGCCACACAATATGGCTCTGTCTACACCCAGGAGATTTCTCACACCATCACCATTGGCCTTGACTTAGCTTTAGATGTTAGATGTGACCCAGAGAAAGAAATGTTGACCCTGAAAATCACGTGTAATAAAAAACAACCTTGCATTGAGTGTCACGTCGACTTGTAGGGATGGCTTCCCAAAGGGAAAAATACTTGCTCCTAAGGGGTGAGAATGGTGTTGGAAACGCCCAGAAGCATCTTCCACCTTCCTTGGTGAACACAGGTGTTTAGTTCTGAAATATGTTTCTGGGTAGACACTTGAACAACCTAATCTGAACTCACATAGAAATAGAAACATGCAGATTAAATAATCTAACATCAAATATTGATCAAGTGCCTTTAGGCAAGGCCCTGTGATTATTGAGGCTGTGGCTCAGATGGTAAAGCATCTGCTTACAATGCGGATACCCGGGTTCCATCCCTGGGTTGGGAAGATCCCCTGGAGAAGGAAATGGCAACCCACTCCAGTACTCTTGCCTGAAAAACCCCATGGACAGAGGAGCCTGGTAGGCTACAGTCCTTGGGGTCGCAAAGAGTCGGACCTGACTGAGCGACTTCACTTTCACTTTTTCTGTTCCTTCTGCATGTATTACTGAGCACCTGCTAAGGGCAGGACACTGGGTACCCAGGGGACCGAAATGGATATAGTGGATGTTCTCATGGAGCTGACAGCCTAAGGGCAGTCACATGTCAGTTTGTAACAGAAATGGCTGTGAAAGAGCAAATTTGATGAAAACTTGGGGATGGAGGATGGGGTGAAGGGGATGGGGAGGCTATAGCAGGAAGCCGGATGAAGTCTAGGCATTAACCTTGGAGGTGCTGTTCAGGCTTCTTTTGCCAAAAGCAATGGGAAGGCATTGAAGAATTTTCATTTTCGGCAGAGAGGCAGAGTAATCAGAGTTGTGTTTCAAAAGCTCACTCTTACTGCCGAGTGGAAAGTGGGCTGGAGGGAACAAGGTGGATGTGGTGTCACCAGGTAGGGGGCTGTTAAAAGGCAGGTAAGAGATGCTACCTTGGCCAACCAGGTAGTAGCAGTGCCAGTGGGTAGGGGATGAGTGAGGACTTGGGAAGTGCAGGAAGGTGAGCTTGGTAGGACCTAGTGACTGATTGGGTGTTGGAGGGCAGAGGAGTTGCAAAGGGTTGGAAGGGAATCGAGGCTTGGGGTGCCGTTGGCCAAAACAGGAGAAGAGCCCAGGTTTGGTGGAGAAGCATGAGTTTGGTTGTGGGTGAACATGCTAGCTGGTGTGCTGGCCATGAGATGCTTTGGAGGCAGCCAAGTAGAGCCAGCCAGTGAGCTCTGGACATGAGTGTGGAGCTCAGAGCAGGGGCCAGGCTGTAAGGACCTGGTGTGTGCTTACCTGCCTCTGTGCCCTTGTCTTGCCCTGGCCTGGAAATCCCTTCCAGCTGTCATAGTAGAATCCAGGGGGCGCCTTGCTTCCCTGGGATCTTGCAGCCACACCACCACCTACCCCATCATCCACTTGTTCTCTTATTCCTCTCTGTAGTGCTCCTGCCAGCCCCCCGCCAGCCAGGTGGCTCTTACTATTTGAATATGAACTGGCAAATTAGCCTCTCTCTGCATCTTTATAGCATCGTTATATCTGCTGACCCCCGCCCCACAGTGAGCCCTATGTCCTCATGAAGTGGGAGCCAGATAGATAGTAGACACAACCCACAACAATTTTTTTTTGGGGGGGGGTCTGTCTCCTAAAGCAAAGGAAATAAAATAAAAAATAAATGGAACCTAAAAAAAAAAAATTAATGGGACCTAATTAGACTTAAAAACTTTTGCACAGGAGAGGAAACCATTGACAAACCGAATGACAGTCTACAGACTAGGCAGAAATATTTGCTAATGATAGGACTGATATGGGGTTAATATCGAAAATAAATAAAGGGCTCATACAACTAAATATAAAAAAAGAAAACCAACTAAAAAATGGGCAGAAGACCCAAATAGACAGTTTTTTTTCAGGGATATGGAGATGACCAACAAGAACATAGAAAGATGCTTCACATTGCTAATTGTTAGAGAAATGCAGATCAAAACTACAAAGAGGTCAGAATGGCCATCCTTATAAAAGACTACAGAGAAAAAAAAAAAAAACAAATATTTGTGAGACTGTAGAGAAAAGGTAACACTTCATACATTGGTGGGAATGTAAATTGGTGCAGCCACTGTAGAAAACAGTATGGAGGTTTCTCAAAAAAACTAAAAATAGAGCTATCATATAACCCATCAATTCCATTCTTGGGTATATATCTGAAAGAAATGAAAATACTATTTGAAATGATATATGCACCCTGATGTTGCCAAGATATGGAAGCAACCTAAGGACCCACCAGCAGATGAGTGGATAAAGAAGATGTGGTCTATATGTACAATGAAACACTGCTCAGCCACAAAAAGGATGAAATTTTGTCATTTACAACAACACCGGTGGACTTGAAGGATTTTACACCAAGTGAAGTAAGTCAAAGAAAAATACCGTATGATATCCCTTAATGTGGAATCTAAAAAATACAATAAACCAGTGCATGTAGTGAAAAAAGAGGCTTATAGACACAGAGACCGCTATCAAGGATCTACTGTATAGCATAGGGGACTCTACTCGATAATCTGCTAACGACCTATATGGGAAAAGAACCAAAAAAAGGGTGGTTAGGAGCTTCCCCGGTGGTCCCGTAGGTAAGACTTCGTGCTTCCAGTGCCAGGGGCCCAGGTTTAATCCCTGGCCAGGGAACTAGTTCCCACATACCTCAACTAAAAGTCCACGTGCCACAACTAAAGAACTCTCAACTAAAGAACAGCGAAGACTGAAGATCTCACGTGCTGCCACTAAGACCCAGCACAGCCAAAAAATAAATGTTTTTAAATAAATAAAAAGAGTGGTGGTATGTGTATAACTGATTCACTTTGCTATACAATAGAAACTAATATGATGTTCTAAATCAACTATACTCCAGTAAGAATTTTTCAAAAGATACAATGAACAAACTAGTGGTTACCAGTAGGACAGGCTACGGGAGGGGATTAAGAGGTACAGGTTTTATTGTACAACACAGGGAATATAGCCAACATTTTATAATAACTATAAATGGAATATAACCTTTTAAAATTGTGAATCACTGTGTTGTATAAATGTAACATATAATACTGTACATCAGCTATATCTCAAAGCAAAGAAACAGGTACCAAGTTTAAAGGGAACATTGACAGATGTTGAGCCTAGAAAATTATGCCTTCATGGAGCTTTTATTCTGGGGAAAAAAATGTAAATTATGGAAGCTATGGCAGAAGGCAGATTTTCAAGCCCTAGGTTAGCCCAAAGGAACAGAGGTGAGTCCCCAGGGTTTCCTGAGTCAGCAGGGCCAGGGTCCCACTGAGAGAACAGCCTCACTGCTGCACAGTGGCCCTCGTCTTTTCTCAGCCCTCTTGCCAGCTAAAGGCCAGAATCTGCCTTCATGGAATAATCTCCAAATGTAAACTCGAGTGAACACTTCAACAGAAATATGAGAAAAACATCGGAATGTCAAGCCATACACAAGCAACTGTTTAATATCCCCTTGACCATTTAGTATGAACCTTAAAGAATTTAAGTGTAATTTAAAGCTTAGATAGTGCTCCCAGAGATGACTGTCACATGCATGACAATTGGGAAAGCTCCAGAGAAGGTGATGGAGGTGGGAACCGCCTCTCTCAGAGCCAGCTTCTCGGGCCAGCAGCTTCGGTAAGCATGTCATCCAGCGTCAGATGCATCCTTGGACCCTCACATTTTCACGTGTGTGACACACGGAAACCTGAACACAGGTGACAGGACACTTGAGTTTTTCTCCACCAGGAGTCAGTGTCCTTAATTAAGCACACACAGTTTATTCTGAACTCCTTGTTAAACGGTTGAGTGTTGGTATCACTGGCTTGATGGAGGTAAGTTTTGTAACCTCCTGACTGACGTCTCGCTGTTCCTGGGTCATCTACTTCCAGCTGGGCTGGCAGTGATGAGTTGTGCCCTCTTGTGTGCCCCCGGGCCTGCCTCCTGCCTCCCACCCAGAAGCCTTCCCAGCGAGCGTGAGACCAAGGCTCCTGGGACCCTTCCACCAGAGAGCATCAGTAGGTGCCTCTCGGCCAAGGGGACCCTGACATTTGCTTTCTGCTTTTAAAACTTGGGGAGTAAACATAAACTTTCTGGTCTCCCAGTGAGTAACAAGTGCCTCTTTCCTCACTTACTCCTTGTAAAACTGTTATCTTTTTTTCAAAATTTAGGTTCTATTTCTTTATTTTACAGGCATGAAAATGAAGGGAAGCTAACTACCAATTTAAAGTCTAAAGGTAAGAGAAACAATTGGAGACCAGACTCTCATTTTGTGTTTTAACTAGAAGGGTGGTTTGTGAGGTGTGGTGTCATTTGCACCCTTAAAGGAGATATGAGGGGGGGTGTAGAGCCTTCCTGTGCTCCCGGGCCCTGCAGGTCTTGCTGGAAGGACCCGGGGCTTCTCCTGAGAACAGGAGGCTTCTCCCCGGGAAGGACCCGGAGGCTTCTCCTGTGGCCAGGGACCACAGTGCACATTTTCTCTTGCAGGTATGAGTTTGCCAGGGATCCTGACCTGTGCTCCAGGCACATCTGCTCACAGGCACCACATGGGGTCCCCAGGGAGCCCTTTGTGGGCAGGGTTGGTGAAGTCGAGCTAATCAGACTGTACAGATGCTGAGCTGCTCTCTGGTTTTCTCTTCCAGGCTTCTGGAGCGAATCTGATGAGACTAACTCAGAAATCGAAGCTGCTTTACGTCCCAAGATACCGTAACACATCCACCAATGATTTTGATGATTTTTATGACTTATAAGCTGTAATATCTGTTAGAAATAAAGCCTTCAAACAAGCTAAGTCCCTATGTTCAGACGTGATGTCCAAAATAAATGTGCCTTTTAAGTTTTCTGATTGTTTAACATGAAAAGTTGGTCCCTAACAATCTTAGGGACCATATTGTTATTCCAGTGAAATTTCATGATGTAAATATAAAGTGGCATATTTGTTTTGAAGCGTTAGCAAAAAGCACAGTGATGAATACAGTGCCCATCAAAACCCAGTTGGTTTCTTTATAGAAGTTGACAGGCTAATTCTAAAATTCATAACAAAATTCAGGGGACCCAAAATAACCAAATCAGTCTTGAAAAAGTTGGAGGACTTGCACTTTGCAATTTTGAAACTTACTGAAATGCTGTAGTAAGTAAAGATAGGGTAAGTAAAGATGGTATAGTAGCTCAGATGATAAAGCATCTGCCTTCAATGCAGGAGATCTGGGTTGGAGCCCTTGGTCAGGAAAATCCCCTGGAGAAGGGAATGGCAACCCACTCCAGTATTCTTGCCTGGAGAATTCCATGGACAGAGAAGCCTAGTGGGCTACAGTCCTTGGGGCAGGCTACAGTCCAAGGGTCAGACACGACTGAGCGACTTAACACACATACAATTAAGATAGTGTGGTACTGCATGATATATTGATTTACATATAATCTAGAATTGATGATCCAGAAATAAACTGTCAAATTTATGATCAATTAATTTTCAATAATGTTGCCAAGACCATTCAGTGGGGAAAGAACTGTTATTTTCAACAAATGATGCTGAGACATCTGGACAGTCTCATGCGAAGGCATGAAGTTGGATCCCTACCTCACACTATGTACAAACAGTAACCCAAAATGGGTCAAGGACCCAATGTAAGAGCTGAACTATCCAATTCTGAGAAGGAAACATGGGTAAACCCTTGTGACTCGAATTAGGCAAGATTCCAAAAGCACTAACAACAGAGAAAAACATAGAAATGGTCACAGACCAGAGGAGACAAAGGAGGTATGACATCTCAGTGAAATGTGGAACGCTGGGTTGGATCCTTGAACAAAAAGAGTGGACATTAATGGAAAATTTGGTGAAATCCAAATCAAGTCGAGTTTAGTTGATAAGATAGGGATTCCCTGGTGACTCAATCAGTAAAGAGTCTGCCTGCAACGCAGGAGACCCAGCTTTGATCCCTGGGTTGGCAAGATCCCCTGGAGAAGGAAATGGCAACCTACTCCAGTATTCTTGCCTGGAAAATCCCATGGAAGGAGGAGTCTGGCAGGCTACAGTCCGTGGTGTGGCCAAGAGTCGGACACAATGGAGCGACGTCACCGCACAGCTTCGCTGATAGTGATGCCCGGTGTTGGTTTCTTAGTTCTGACAAACAACCACAGAAATGTGAGATTAGGGACTTCTGTGGTGGTCCAGTGGCTAAGAACCCAAGCCCCCAAAACAGGGAGTCCAGGTTCCATCCATGGTCAGGAAACTAGATCCCACATGCCACAACTAAGACCCAGGGCACCAAATAAATAAATAATATTTTTTTTAAATGTGGGATTAGAGGAATGTACCACTAGAGGAAACTGAACCTGATTGAAGGGTACATAAGAACTCTGTGATCTTTGCAGCTTCTCTAAAAATCTAAAATTAGTCCACACACACACACAAGTCCAGTGGTCAACTTTACTGATGTTTGGGTGATTGCTTCCAGAGTTTTTCTATGCATATAAACCCTTTAAAAACTCATAAATATTTTTAATTTTAATTCTAGATTTTACCAAGTTTAAACAGCTTATACTCACTAAGAAAATAAAACAAGACCTTCAGCCAGGACACTTCTTAGATATTGTCAGGCATGCTGATGGAACATACAGAGTCCTGCCTCTGAATACCTTCTACTAGAGGCCAACACACGTGAGCACTGATGCTGGTCCAGAGCAAAGCCTCTGTTGGTGCTGGACTTCAACATGAGTGTATCTTACATTCAGTAGTGGTAGTGAAGGCCTGGGGCCCAATGCCATTATCAGGCAGAATTTTCCACCGAAAATTAATGCATTTTGTTTTCTTTTTAAATTACTTTCTATTTATCTCCAGTGACCCTGGTTTAAAAAGTGGTATAAATTTCCCTTTCCAAATACACTTTAGGGGAAAGAATATAATTGACTTTTGAAAATAAACAAAGAGCGGGAGCTCTGCTTACCAACAACTTGCCGACCTATTTTGGGGGCTCTGTCGGGGCTAAGTTCCCGGGGAGGTCGTGCACTGGGCCCACACCTTGTCTTGTTTCCCAGGTAAGAGCAGAATCACAGTCTTAAGTAACAACCTGTGTTTTCTTTTGCTCTCAAACAACTACCACACTCAGAAGACTGACCCCAGATGTTGGCATTCTTTTCCCCTACCTCAACCCATGTTCTGACACTGGCTGCAGGTCCTACAATTCAGTTCCATTGTGATAGTAGCTGGAGTTAGTGCAGACCCCACAGTTTCCTGGCTGAGTCCCACAAGGCTAACCCCTACTTCAGACACCAATCAGAGGTTGTAGCGGCCCAGATTCCCAAAATCTCCATCTGACTGCTCTGTAAATTGAGGTCCCCACAACTTGAGTCTGCTAATCTGTCAGAATGACTCAGGACCCCATGAAACCCTTCCTTACATTTACCAGTTTATCATGAAATATGATAAAGTACAGCGGAGACCGTCCAGGTGCAAATATGTGTAGGGGGGATCTGGAGAAAGGGCACGGAGCTCCCATGTCCCCACTGGGTGCGGTCCCCTCCCAGCACTGCCACATGCGGAGCAACCCAGAGGCAGCGTGAATCTTTGGTGATCTTATGGCAGCCTCATCACGTAGGCATGACTGATTATTAACTCCACTTCCAACAACCTGAATGTCCATTGACAGGTGAACGGATGAAGAAGATGTGGTACATATATACAATAGAATACTACTCAGCCATAAAAAAGAACGGAGTAGAGTCATTTGCAGCAACATGGATGGACCTAGAGTTTATCATACTAAGTCAGAGAAAGACAAATACCGTATCACTTACGTGTGGAATCTAAAATATGACACAAATGAACCTGCCTATGAGACAGACTCACAGACATAGGGAATAGACTTGTGGTTGCCAAGGGGGAGGGGTTTGGGGGAGGCACGGAGTGGGAGGCTGGGATTAGCAGATGCAAACTATTATACAGAGAATGGATAAGCAACAAGCTCTCCTGTAGAGCACAGGGAGCTATATTCAATATCCTGTGATAAACCACAATGGAAAAGGATACAAAAAGGAATGTATATATGTATAACTGAATCACTTTGCTGTACAGGAGAAATAAACACAATATTGTAAATCAGTTATACTTCAACTGAAAAAAACGACACACCTCTAGCCCCTCTGCACTGTCCAAAGAAGGGGAGCCTGGAGCTGATAGTTTCAAGCTTCTAATCGTGGCTTCGTGTCTGCAGTGTCCATCTCCCTCTCCTGCAGCTCTCCAGGAACCCCCAGAGCCACCTCATTAGGAAAAAAATAAAACACTCCTTTGCCCAGGGAATTTCAGGGGTTTTAGGAGCTCTGTGTCAGAAACCAGGGACAGAGATCAATACGTATTTCACAATATCTTATTTCACACTAGTCAAATAATCAAACTTTATGAGCTTGGTTAATATGATTAAATCAATCCTTGGAACCCACAGTGTTGAGAATTCAACTCTAGATCTGGGGTAACCACCCTCCCAGCTCTACCAAGTGAAGTTCGGATACAGCTTGATCAAGCTGCGTATCCTGACATTTCCCGTGTGTCAGGCTCTGGGGGGCTAGTCTTTGGGAGTACAGGGCTGGATCTGAGACAGTCACTCACCTCGGGCACCCTCACTCCAACAAGGGTGAAAAAGCCCGAAGCTCAGCGCATTGTGTACAGCCCCTTCGGTAGATGCCTTTGTTCCTGAAGCTCTGAGGAGCGAAACACTATTCCTCCTGTGGCTGAGTTGGCGAACTTGCACGTGGGAGGTGACATTAGCACAGGACAGGGGGAGCCTGGAGGATCAAGAACACTCCAGGCAGAGAAATGACCCCAGCAAGGCCCAGAGGCATGAGAACTGGTGCAAATGAAACGGTCCTCACGTGAGACCAGTGCAGGACACTTGCAGCAAGGACGAGGGCTGGAGGGGCGCCCCAGAGGAAGAGGGGCTACAGACTGTTGGAGCAAGGAGGGGAGGCTACAAAGTGTGGCTGATTGATGCCAAGATTGTCTCCAAAGAAGATCCAGCTGCTGGAGAGGAGCATTAGAACCAGTGAGAGTTTTGATATAAAAGCAATTTCAACCGTCAACCATATAGGGACTTTCCTGGTGGTCCACTGGTAAAGAATATGCCTTGCAATGCAAGGGACATGGGTTCGATTACTGGTCAGGGAACTATGATCCCACATGCTGTGGAGCAACTGAACCCATGTGCCACAATGAAAGATTCTGCCACAGTGAAAGACTCAACGAAAATGCTGTGTTTAGCAACTGAGACTCAACACAGCCAAATATAAATATTTTTTAAGGTTAAAAAAATTAATGAACAGTATAGTGATACACCGAGAAAGTCAGTTTGAAAATATTTTTTAAAGATGCCATTTGCAGTAATCAAAAATTTCATGTGAAAAATCTTAGTTTTTAAGCCATCAGTGAAAGATGAAATTTTAAACATCTATTGACAGTAGAAAACTACACATTCATGGATGAGAAGATTCTATTTTCAAAAGCACAAATTCTGTCCAGATTAATCCCGAAAGTCCATGCCATTTCAATCAAAATCCCAACAGGTCATTTCCAAGAAGTTGACAAGCTGGTCATTAAGCTTGGAAGGAATTTAAAGATTCAAAATGGCCAAACAGTTCTGCATAATAATGAGAAGATCTTACCATAGCAAACATCAAGATTTATCAAGATCATCATTAGTTCTGTGGTCCTGGCTCAGGGCT